CCCGGCGAGGGGTAGCGAGCGCACGCGGCGCGGGCGGGCCTGCTCCGCTCGCTGATTTCCCCTTCCCGCAGGGCTGTCCTGAGGAAGGCCTCGGCTCTGGAGTACAAAATACAGCGGAGAGCACTTCAGAAGGAGGATTTTATTAATTATATTCAGGTAGGCTTTACTGATTAGCAGAGCGTGCTAACTCGCGTTGTAGATCCAGCTCGGCTAAAAGTAATTTTGTAGTTACCCACGTCGGAAACAGGTGGCTTCTTGAGGCCTCTCCTCGCCTGGTCCCTAGCGTTCACCTCTGAGTGGTTTATTGGCATAGGCTCTTTATCAAGACACACTGGAGCATGAGGCATAGCCGGGAGTTGATGTTGAGTTTGGGATGAGAGAGTCTTCTTTCTTGCTGTGACTTTTTCCTGTAGTTTTTTCCTCTTAACAGGGAGGCAGGGACACCAGTTCCCTGATGTGCTGGGCAAATTATAGTGAAGTGTGATTATTTTCTTTGTAGTGTCAGAAGTTTAGCTTGTGCATCACGATTCTAGACATACGGGATGCTAACAGCTCAAGTCTGAAATATCATGTGCAATGCAAATACTCAAGCTTAATTTCAGTCAGCCTTAGAAATGAATCTGGCCGAAAAAATGCTGCTTATGTTTTCCTGGATGTAATTTTTATTCTCCAACTGATTAGCTATAAAAAAATGGATCTGTATTTTTTTCCCCTTGCTGTTAGGTGCCTCTTTGTTTGATTTTAAATGTTTTTTTTTCCTCCCTATTCTAGTATGAAATTAATCTGCTAGAACTGATCAAGAAAAGAAGAGCAGTAAGTTTGTCAGTTATTTAGAGTGCAAAATACCTTATGCCAAATTTTCTATTGCAATAAAATTAATACTTTTTTTTTCCTCATAGCGCATTGGATATTCATTTAAGAAGGATGAAATTGAGAACTCTATTCTGCATAGGGTCCATAGTCTCTTCAACCGTGCTACAGGAAAATGGAAAGTAAGTTCGTTTATTTGTACTGATAGGTTGAAGAATGCCCTTTTGGTATGTAAAATTATCTAGATATCATTGCCACCAAGTATTTGCAAGAATACAGAAGAATATAATAGAAGAACTAAGTGGACATTTTGTCTTACACTTAGAAGTAGCCTAGAAATAGATCATTCATGTCAGATACGCATTTTTTTGTACACAAACAATATTTTGTCCTTTCCAAGCCATTAGTCCTCGACTGTCTAGAGCCGCATATTGCCATGTGAGTTTGGTCTGTCTGCTTGCACGGACTGGAAACAGAATGAAAATAACTTTCAGTGGCTTTAAGAAAAGATTGTTCTGATACATCTAATGGTAAAACCTAAATGAGGTGTCTTGGGAACTGTGGGCTCTCTATTGAGTTCAGTGTAACATAGATTTGATTGGAGACGCTTAGAGGGTGTATCTTGGGAGGGTTGGTTTTCTTTGGATGTTTTGCAGAATTTGAAGAGCTGGAAAAAAGGAATTTGAGATTCAGCATTTCTTCTCTGCATGCCAAGTTGTCATACCAAGGGTATACTGTTTGCTAGTCAATGTGCAAGTGATTTTGTGGTTGCCTTATTGCAAGGTTGATTCTCTCCCCCTTGGATTTCCAACAGGAAGATGTCCAGCTTTGGCTTTCACACGTTGCATTTTGCAAGCAGTGGGTAAGTTTTCAAAATGCTAATCTTGTCTGAGTTGAGATACTGAATTGGTGTTTAATCAGGCATCTGGAACTTGAATTACAAGGCAGGGATACAAACTTTACTGCCACATGCTGTAATACTGAAATAATTGTGATAGTATTATTGGAGCTGCCTGGGATTTTTCTCTGATGTATGTAAGTGTAGAATTTGACTCAGAATGAATTAGTGTGAAATTTGATGCTTGCAGGTGGCAAAGGTGAGGCTGATTGCATTGAATCGAGTACCATTTGGTTTGGGAGAATCATAATATTGGTTATACCTTCTCTGGAATGAATGGATCACTTGTCTGTGAATTGTGATTTTGTTCCAAACATTTCTTATAGTGGCTATGCTGAAAAGTATGATTCTGGCAATTCTGTACACTGTAAACTTACCTGTGTAAGTCTTCACATTATTATCAGCATTCAGTCATCGTCCTTTCTGTACTGAAGAAGGTGACCTTGTCATAGTAATGCAAGTGGCCAATGAGAAAATGCAGTCTTTACCTCAAAAGTGGTCAGTGAGACTATGGGTTTGTGACTTAGGCAACATTGGTGTTAGTTAGCTATGTAGTTTAAAAAGGTTTGAGTTAACCATGCTAATTTAGTCTGGTAACATTTGAAAACTGGTCAGTATTGAACAACTATGAGAAACTTTCTACTGAAGATAAGGTAGTGGATAAGTGTCTTTCTCAGTACAATTGCATTACAGCTTGTAACCTTTCATAATGAAACTTTGATGCTGGTGGTTCAATTCAGTACTAGAGTGGGTAAAACAAAATGTCTTCTTTTACAGAATGCAAAACATCAGCTTAGTAAGGTGTTTTCTTCCATGTTGGCCATTCATCCCAATAAACCAGGTAAATAAAACAATGGTGAGTGCTGCATAAGGACCTAATATAGATTGTATAGTGTTGGTTTAAGTTCTTACAGATCTCAGTTCAAGCTATTGGGGTAAAAGTTCCTACTCTGTTTTCTTTGCCTTGCTGCTACTTCAGAGAGAAGGGCTCTGACAGGGATTGTGCTGAGCAATCAAAAGGTGATGTGAAGTAGGAGTCCCCATGGTCTGAATGACTGTTTCCCAGATAGACTGGGGACTGGGTAAATGTTTCAGAGGTAGGAGATGTTGAATACTCATGGCTGCTTTTTGGCTTTTGAAGACATCACTGTACATCATTGGATTTGTAGCAATATCAGATTAAACTTCCTGGATCTGCCTAGCTGCCTTAACTAGTTCTTCTCAGTTTTACATGGGAGATAATCAGTCTTGTTACATTGCTGAGCTCATGGATTATTTTGGGGTGGGTACATTGAACAAAACCACCTGTGCATCCTCGAGAATAGCTTCAAAATGGGTTCTCATGGCCAGCCACTTGCTATGCCTTAAAATGAATTTATTTGTATCACTGTTGCAGCACTGTGGATTATGGCAGCAAAATGGGAAATGGAGACGCAACTCTCATCAGAAAGTGCTAGGCACTTGTTCCTTCGTGCTTTGCGCTTCCATCCAGAGTGCCCAAAACTTTATCAAGAAGTGAGTTCCTGATTTTCTTCTACGACTAGTTATTTGATCAATCAGAGCAAATCAGTCCAGCATATCTCTCGGATCAGTCTGAGAAAACTGGAAAAAACTTGTTTCCCCATCAGTGGGGAAATGTTCTCAGAAAGATTAAAACCAGAATGAAAACCTTTGTACTGGTAGCATTTTTCAGTTGTTTAGCAAATTTTGTGTTTATGTATGCAAAGTGAGGTTTTTACGCTGTTTATAGATAAATATGTCAGAATTCCCTTCTAAAGTACTGTGAGCTCTGCTAGGACATAATTGTCTGGATTAGATCTGGCATCCCTAGCCTTTGCTAGGGAGTGTGGTTTTCTTTGAGAGCAAGTTAAGGTTTAAAGAATGACCAGAAAGTGGTAATTTCTACGTGTGGGAAATTTCTGAGTAAATATGTAGAGCAGATAGCTATATGTACAAACCTTTAGAACCAAGGCTCTTGGACATACTTGTTGGCAAAGCCCTGATTTGTAGCTCCTCAGATAGAGCTTGTTTTACCATGTTTGTGAACTTAGATGTTTTATGATTTATCTCTACTCCCACAGTCATTTAATTTTATTCTCTGTCTTGCAGTATTTCAGAATGGAGCTGATGCATGCTGAAAAACAGAGGAAGGAAAAGAAAGCATTTGAACAAGCAAAGATGGACTTGGTAGGTCAGCTAAACTTACTTAAGAGATACTGTCTGCTTGTGTATCGCACATTTGAATGTATAGTTTCAAGGGACCTGTATTAATGGTTTGTTTGATAACAGCTTAGAGAAACTTTTTGTTCATGTCTTGTGCCTCTGTTAAGCTTTTCAAGTGTTTGCTGATGCTCAGCTCGAATACTTCATACATTGATTTTTCTTTACATTTGTGAAGTCTTCTGTTACATTGCCCAGTTTGAAAGTTAGTAATAATTTCTGGAAAGGAGTAGTTAAACTTACTGTTTCTTATTTCTTCATAGTTGAGTTGTGCAAATTAGATAAAGATAGATTTAGTTAAAGAAAAACATTAGTATCTTCTTCTGATGTTTTTTCCTTGTTTTCAAAAATGGTAGCTGTGAAAGGAAAACAATTTTTTCAATGATGTTATGCTTGATACTGCAGGGGGAATTCAATTATTCTGAAGAGATTCTCAATGGGGAGATGGCTCGCATAATCTACAGGGATGCTGCCCAGAAAATTAAAGGTGATTTACATTTCTTGTACTTATTCAATAGGAAAATTGTCACCTTTAACTCAATTCTCCAGTAAGTAGTACAGATAGATTTAGATGCAGTGTATATGCTAAGATAGATTTTCAAATACACCATTCCTTCAGTAGAATGTAGATAATGCCAGAGTATTAATTAATAGTGCCGATAGCTCTGATTTTCATAATTTTTCTGCAGGCTGACACTTCTTCCAGTACAACAGCTTTTGGGCTGAAGTGGTATAGGTGCTGGGCTTACAGTCTCAAAGCTTGTTTGTTTAAAAAAAACCAAAGGGAGGACAGTTCAGAATTTCACACCTTTTTTGCTTTGTCGTTTACTGAACATTAGATCACAGCTAATCAACTAACACTAGTGACAAAGAAGTAAGAATTCAGACTAATAATAAAACAGGTTAGATTATTTAAAATAAACCAGGTTTGGTAAAATTCACCATTTTATTGAGAGAATTGGGTAAAATAACTGCACAGTAGTAGCAGATATCTTTGAGAAACCATGATAGATGGGGATATTTTGAAAGACAATGGGCAAAATATAACAACAACATTGAAAAGTAGTGGGGGAAAAAGGACGTTAGAGGAAATTACAGAAAGAGTTAGCTTAATTTAAATTCCTGGAGAAATACTGGAATAAATAGGCATACAAATGCTCTGTGTGCACCTAAAAATAAAGAGGTGAGTAATGGCTGATAGGTATTCACAATGAACTGATTACATCAAGTGATGTCACTTGGCATTCTCAAAGATAAGTTGTGGAGATACAAGATGGATGGATACAATTCATTGACGTATACTGTGCGCGGCTTTGGAGAGGTCTATCCCAAGTATTGAGCCTTCTGTGTTTTCATGGCAGAGTCAAATGAAGGAGTAGAGGAGGTGCTGATAAAATTTGCAGGTGGAACCCAGCCGGAAGGATTTGTAAGCATGTCAGAACAAGTCTAGTTTATCACTTTGGAGTCTGGAATATCCTGCCTCTCACAGCGTTTTTTTTGTAACTGCCTAACATGAAGTTGTGAAGAATATAGTCAGGCAATCAACACCCTAACATACGGCTTGTCATATGGCTGGAACACTGAGATAAATAGAAAATGGTATCTAGCTAGACACTGAAATGTTATCTGTGTCTTGACAAAAGCTTGCAAAGATAGAGAAATGCAAAGTGTGCAATGGATGTAATACTCCACTTAATAGTTTTTTTTCTCTTCTTGCAATGTAGGTGTTGAGTTCCATCTGGCTGTGCTTTCTATTGCAAAGCTCTTTGATTTTACCCAAGAATTGCAAAGAGAAATTCTTGAAAGGTGAGGTGTGGCATTGTGTTTTGATTTTTTTTATTTCATTTTGTTTTTTAAGGAATATGTTCTAATAACTTCTCTAATTTACAGTGGGTTGACAGGTTAACAACTAAAGGCTGTTTTCTCTAGGGAAATAGAATGTTAAAACCTGTGGGAAGTCCTTCAAGAAAAACAAAACATGAGGCAAGCATGCTCTTTAGAAAAAGCTACTTGTATCTAACTTCAGAAAAGGCTTTGAGAGGCTGCTAAGAAAATTTTGGATAAAATACAGTTGTCACTGAATAATTACTGCACTTAGTTTCCATAAATTTACTGTAGGAACTGTGGATTTTCCTAGTGTACTTTGTGGTTCTTTTGCATCTTTAGTTTCTCCAGTTGTTCCTCTTTCAAAAGAAAGATCTCTCTCGAAAGCTTCCTATCTATTTCATGCTATTACTGGAGAATATCCATATTAAATTAACAACAAAAATAAGCTAATATTTTGTCTTTCTCTTGTGGAAAGGCAAAGTGTTTTTTCTCTGGCATTTGATTACTTAGAAATTAAGTACATTTCTATACCAATATTAAAACCCTTTTAAACATACCTGCAAAAGAAGAATGGCAGTTGAGGGCTATTATAGACATGGTGTGTTTAGTTTGCAGACCAAGTATGCTGATGATCCTCTTACATGGGACTACATGGCCCGTCGTGAGCTGGAGCTGGGGTCCCTGCAGTCAACAGAACGCAGCACAAAACAGATGAAAGTATCTGAAATGACCCAGAGAGAGGAACGGTGCTGTGCCGTCTTTGAAGAGGCTGTGAGAGCAGTCCCAACAGGTAAAAAGTTCTGCCTGCATTTTAACATTTTTTCCTGGTACTTTCTAATACTGTATACTGTGAAAGTTTTGAAGTAGGTGTTGGCAGGCTCTACCATACCTAAGAGAAGGCAAGCAGTTTTCAGATGCTACCTTTTTGGGAACTGTCTTCTGTGTTAGTTGGGTTATTTTCCAATGCATTTATGCTCTCAAAGGAGCTGCTTAACTGAAAGTGCTTTTTGTTGCTTGTTTGCTTTTATTAATGTGACTTAACCAATGAGGAGAATAGAAGCCCACAGATGAACAGAGGTTTGGGAGTTGTCAGTTGAGAAAATTTCCTAAATAAAGGAAACTGGTAGAACTCAAGTGTATTGCTGATTAGCTGTGAGTAAGCAGTGTTTTGGAGTTGCCAATGGAGTGGTTATCCAACTTCAACATCTGGCATTGTTGTTACTCTCAAAGGAGGCTATCGAGGGGCTATCTGTTGAGCGGACTCAGACTTGCCGCTTATGTAGCCTTTGAAGTCATCGAATAATAGAATAGTTTGGGTTGAAGGGACCTTTAAAGGTCATCTAGTCCAGCTCCCCTGCAACAAGCAGGGACATCTTCAAGTTGATCAGGTTGCTCAGAGCCCCATCCAGTGCAACAAGCAGGGACATCTTCAAGTTTATCAGGTTGCTCAGAGCCCCATCCAGCCTGTCCTTGAATGTTTCCAGGGGTGGGGCATCTACCACCTCTCTGGGCAACCTGTGCTAGTGTTTCACCACCCTTGTAAAAAATTTCATCGCTACATCTAGTCTGAATCTGCCCTCCTTCAGTTTAAAACCATTACCTCTTGTCATATCAGAACAAGCCCTACTAAAAAGTCTGTCCCCATCAGTCTTAAAAGCCCTCTTTAACTACCGAAAGGCCGCAATAAGGTCTTCCTGGAGCTTTCTCTTCTCCAGGCTGAACAACCCCAACTCTCTCAGGTTTTCCTCATAGGAGAGGTGCTCCAGCCCTGTGATCATTTTTGCGGCCCTGAAGTCAGGCAGACAAAGAAGGATTTTCTCAGCCGCCCGTGAGTGTCCTCACTCTTGCAGGCCCATTGAAAACTACAGGCAAAGGGTGCACTGAACATCAATTGTGACAGCGTGTGCTGAAGCCTCAGCTGAACTAAGAGCTTGATACTCTTTAGAAAGAGTTACTGTCTGCAGCTTATACTGGGAAGCCATTTTTAAATGTTAATGTTATAAATGTAGGGCCTCTTTTATAATACATTTTAAAACAAAGTTGGCATTAATGCTTGGATTTTCTGTATTCCTTAAAGACAAATATTTGTGCTTACTCTTGTGGTTCTATAAAGTGTGACACTATGCCTTTGATTCTACAGAGGACATGTGGAAATGCTACATCACGTTTTGCTTAGAGAGATATAACAGGAAAACCAACAGCAAAGAATTAAAGCAAAAGGTAAAAGCTTATTAGGGAATCTTAGTAACAAATCATCCCTATTTTTACTGACTTCTGTGATCCATCACACAAGAAGCAAATATATTTTGACATTTTATCAGAAATACCTGTGACTATCATTAAAAATCATTTAGTCT